CACACACACACACACACACACGCGTGTGCACCCGGGCTGCCACCCACGTCTGGCCCGGGCACTCCCGTGCGCACACACACGCCTGTGCCCACGTGTGCGTGCGAGCTCACACCGACGCAAGACACGCGCGGCCACACTCACCCGCCAACTTCGCAGACACGCACTCGCCACCACGCGGGCTCCCTGCGCCACGCCGATCCGGCGGCGAGAATTGCCCGGTGTTTCCCAACTCCTCCCGGGAGACCCAGGCCGCCGCCCCGCGGAGCCCGCAGCCTCCCTCCCTCCTTCCCCCTACGCTGGCGTCCAGGTCTCCAGGGCCAGACCACCCGCCCGGTTGCCATGACGACGCTGGTTCATTTCCCCCCCACACCTCCTCACACCCCCTCCCTGCAGAGAGCTCGCTGGGAGGGGTGGAGGGCGTCTGTCCTCCCTCCTCCTGTCCGTAGGGGCGGGGCCTAGAGATCCGCAGTGGCCTGGGGGGTCCGGCAGGTGGAGAGGGGCATCTAATCTACCTTGGGGTGGGGGGAGTCCCGGCCAGGCATCTGGGGGTCATCAAGCCCAGCTGAGGAGGAGACGGAGGCCCCCCAGCAGCCTCCCCAGGCCTCCTCCCTTTGGCCCTTCTCCACGCAGTACAACCTAGCACCCAGACTGGTGTCTCCTCCCCGATTTGCAGCACCATTGGGTACCCTCCCTCTCCCTCTCACCCCTGCTGTCTGATGCGGCTCCTCAGGTGGCCAGGGGCTGAGAGCTTGGCCCTGAAAGCCCCCAGAACCCTGAAATCCTAATGAGGGAGCAGCCTAGTCACCCCACCTGCCGCCATCTCATTCATCCCTAGCCTACTACCTTCCCTCTCGTTGGCCACAAACGTACCCTCAGAAGAGGCCTTCAAGGCCCTCAGACCAGGGCCTCATTACTAGATCTTGTCCTCTCCAGGCTGGCCGCTTTCCTGCAGTGCGCCAGCAAGTTTCTGGCCTCTGGGCTTTTGCTCAGAAGACTAGCTCTTCCTTCAAGGATCATCCAGGGAATGATCAGCTGTTCCTAGGAGCCTTCCTAGAGCTCCAGGACCCAGCTGCCCCTCAGCGCCTAGATACCTGGACAGCCCTGCTGAGTGGACAGCCCTGCTGAGTGTTGTCTGGGCCTTGTTTATGTTTGTGTGTCTCCTCTCAGCCAGGGAGTTCTGCAGAGAGCAGGGGCTGATTCATCTGAGTCCCCAGTGCCTCAGACTGGGGCTGGCTTGCCAGCATCCCTGAGTATTGAGGACTTAAGAGACAGAAATGTTGTTGTGCCTCTAGATGCCAGTGGCTCATGCCTGTAATCCTAACTACTCAGAAGCTGAGATCTGAGGATGGAGGTTCAAAGCCAGCCCAGGCAGGAAAGTCTGTGAGACTCTGATCTACAATTAATTACCATAAAACTGGGGCTCAAGTGGTACAACGCTAGCCTTGAGCTGAAAAGCTGAGGGACAGTGCCAGGCCCAGAGTTCAAGCCCCATGACTGACCAAAAAAAAGATAATAAAATAAAAAATGCTATGTGTTTGTGTTCTGTTCCTCTCCCCTTTTTTTTTACAATACTGGAATTTGAACCCAGGACCTCACATTTGCTAGGCATGTGCAAGTTCTCTCTAACTTAGGCTATGCTCTGAGTGCCCCCTCCCCTTTTTTAATAGATTCTCATATTTTTGCCTGAGGCTGGCATTAGACATGATCTATCTATGCCTCCTGGGTACCTAGGATGGCATGCATATGCCTGGTTTGTTGCTTGAGATGGAATCTCACTTTTTCTCCAGGTGAGACTCACATTTCAATCCTCCAGATTTCTGCCTCTGAGTAACTGGGATTATAAACCTGAGCCACTGCATCTAACCCTTCAAGATTCTTCTTTTTGTTTTGCTTTGACCAGTCTTGGGGCTTGAACTCAGGGCCTGGGCACTGTCCCTGAGCTTCTTTTTTGCTCCCACTCTACCATTTGAGCCACAGTGCCATTTCTGGTTTTTTCTGTTTATGTGCTACCGAGGAACCCAGGGCTTCATGCATGCTAGGCAAGCACTCTTCCACTAAGCCACATAAGCCACATTCCCAGCCCTCCTTCAAGGTTCTTCCTCCCCCCTCCTCCCCCCCCCTCGTGGGGCCTGAACTCTGGGCCTGGGCGCTGTCCCTCAGCTCTTCAGCTCAAGGCTAGCGCTCTATCACTTGAGCCACCTTCCCAGCCCCATCCTTCAAGGTTCTTAAGCAACTTATTCCAAAAGATGGGAGCAACTATAATGTCCATGCATGGGGGCGGTTAGATCAGTCAAGACATGATTTCTTTTCTTCTTCTTCTTCTTCTTCTCCTTATCCCTCCTCCTCTTCCTCCTCTTCTTCTTCTTCTTCCTGCTCTTTCTCCTCTCTCTCTTC